GGAGTCAAAAAAGCTCTGTTCAAGGCTTGCCTCAGTGCTACATAGGTGACCTTGGGCCAAAATGCTTCCCCTTGTTGGGCCTCGGCTTTCTCATCCATAAAATAGGAGAGGGCTTGCCTATCTCGCAGGTTTGCTTAAACCAGATGTGTCCAAAAGGGCTTTGTAAAAGGGCATGAACCAGACACTTGTGCGGTGCAGTCCTCACCACCGTGGATGGGCCTCTTCCCCCTTCCCTGTCCTCACCAAGGGTATCGCCAACCCATAGGGAACCTTTGTGAGAATTAGAAAAAATACTTCCTCTGGAAGGTGACAGTGTTCAACTGGGCTAGCAACTTGGGGTCTTTGTTATGAGAATTAGAAGAAGGCACATTTTACCCCAGGTGCAGCTCTAGCATCTAGACAGGCAGATTGTGGGCTAGATCACGGCTCCCAACTACCCTCAGGTGAATGTTCCTGTGCAGGACACATCTGTACAGCTGCAGCTGGCAACCCTTTTCAGCAGGCTCCTGGTGTCTCTAAGAGACACAAAACTACACACACTCCCAGGGTATTTTCTAGAGAAGGCCACATCCCAGTCTGTCTCTAGCTAATTTCTTTCCTGCTGGTCTCCACTTCATGAGGACCTTTGGGTATTCACACAACCAAGCCTATGCCCTACTGGGAAACATGATGGAATCCCACCACCAAAGAGTGGCTCCTTTGAGTTAGGCAGCACCTTCACCAAGCTCTCAGGGGCAGGAGTTACCGAGTCTCTAACCCCTTATGTCAAGAACGTGATCAAATCACTTTTCTCAGGAACAAGAACAGAAGCATGTGCACACCTGGTGGCATTGCCATTTACAAACCATGTCGACATCTGCTATCTCAGAGCATCCTCACAGCAAGCTTGTGAGGCAGATCTCCTCCCCATTTACAAGAGAAGTCATGCCCTGAGAAGTTAAGGAACTTGCCCAAGATTTTACAGCGTGTAAGTGGTAGCGCCCATTTACAGGACCCTAGCCCAGATCTAGCTGTCCAGTCCTCTCCACTCCACAGCCACTGAGTAACAAAGTCGCTGACTTCACAGCCTTACTAAAGCCCTGCTGGAAATGTTGCCCTCCCGCCCTATCCCCAGCAGCCTCTGGCTCTCTCCTTCCCCTCAGTAATCAGCCCCCAATCAGAGGAAGGAGTCACCTGCTATTTTACTTTGATTTCATGGGAGCCACATCTCCCTTCCTCAGTGCAGGAAGGCCCCTGGGGAGTCCAGAGGTCCAGTGTGAGAGCTCACCCTTGACTGGGTCAAAGGCCAGGATAAGGGTCAGGGAGCAGCTATTTCCTTTCCTGCCCAGATGTGGGCTTAAACAGTATCCGTCATGAAGGACATGGCCACAGTGAGCCAGAGCCTGCGTGAGGGGCAGGCCAGGGACCACAGAATAACCACAGGAAAATGGAGCAAGCTGGAGACTGAGGGAAACTGAGAGGCCCCCTGCACACCCTCTGTGTCATCACAGGGGAAGGAGGGAGCCTAGCAGACAGGGTTGTAGGCCCCTTCAGCCAGCGTATTTCTTTTCTTTTCTTTTTTTTTTTTTTAAAAGATGACCGGTAAGGGGATCTTAACCCTT